CAAGGATGGGGAGTGACAGAGCGGTTTTGGTGGGCACCTGGTATTCATCCAGGCCAAACCAAAACATCTATGGAAATGTTTGTCTTTGCACTTCATTTTTCCCACTGTTTCATTGTGACAGTTCATGTGGAGTGAGCATTTGTGTTGCTGTTTAATTGCTATAACAGAAATGTTTGTTACTTTTGTGTACAAGATTGAGATGAGAATGGGGATTTAAAGGCCAGTGTATACCAGCAGGTGGCATAAAAAAAGATTTTGTGGTTGGTTTTTTTTTTTTTTGAAAGAAACTTTTTCAGTTGGGTTTCCAGAGCCACCTTCAGTTTCGAGGCTCACATGCTGCAGTTATGCTGTGGTGCTTCTTAGCTACCATCCTCTGTGCTTTCTCTGGGCAGCTTAACAGGGCTGTAAGGTGTCTTATTTTGAAAATCATTTATCCCAAACACATTTTTCTTTCTGGTGTTTATTTGGCCTGTCCAACAGTGTGCGACTACCTTATATTTTTATGGTGCAGATGTGTAAAGAACTTAGTCTCAGGAGAAGTTCCCCTGATATGCCCTGTTCATGCCAGAAACCTGACCAGGTGTTCCGCAGGTGACAAAGTAAGAATTATTTTCCTATATCTAGTGATTAAGAAAATACATCCCTTTGCTCCCTTTTATCTGTAATTCTGGATAATACACAATTCCCACATCTCTTTAATCATTAACAGGTGTCTCACCGTCATCTTGGCAGTTCTGCGTTTTACCTTTTAATGGACAATGAGGCTCTGCTCTTTACGGCTGAGATGGCATTAGGTTTTGTAAATACACAGAGCAAACATGACTGCATGAGAAACGCAGCACGGGCTGTAAGCGTGCGTGCAGGCTGTTGTATCATCTGTGTTTTCGTACGTGTGACGTAGTGCCTCTTGGCTGAGGTACTAAATACGGATGTGATGGGACTGCTTGCAAAGTGTCCTGTGCCTACCACCAGGTGTAACCGGGAGGAACACTGACAGAAATGATCTCCCCTGTACTCAGTAAACTGTATGTTAGGGAGGTTTCTCGAGGCTGTGAGATGCTTTTCAGAGAGCTATAGAGGTTAAATATCCTGATTGACGTCCTAGCTGTTTTTTCTCCCCAAGAGAGAAAGCTTCCCAGATGAACACAGAAGTGCCGTGTGTTGACTTTAGATAACATGTGCTCTTTGTTTAACCCAGCACCCTCGTCCGGTGAAGGCTGAGGAGCTTCAATTGCAGATAAAAGTGAACAGTAGTTCTGGTTTCATTCACCTTTCCTTACGTCTCTGTGGAACAGCACATGGCATGATATAACCAGGGCAAACAGCATACTTGGAGATTAAACCAAGAGCAAACCAAAATGTTGCTTACCCGTGTGCATTCTGTTCCAGAAAACCTGTTGCAGCCATGATGCCTGTTGGAACTGTGATGCCTGACGACACACCGATGTTTGACCCAAATATTCTGCATGAACTTGACTGGAGCGAGAACACGACGACTTTTTCTCCTGCTATTTCTCCTTTAGATCCAGGAGATGGCCTAGTTTTGAGACCGCTTTGCACAGCTGATGTAAATCGAGGTAGAATCCTGTTTAATGACATCACCAATGAAAGCTGGGTGCTGAACTAGATAATATGTATTTCTGTGTGATTTCTCAATAGATTAGCATTGCTTGATTTGTCTGATTTGGGTTATTTTTATCAGTAAGGAATATGAGCACTTGGCACCATGTATTGGTGCTGTGTTGGGTGACCTCCAAAATGGGATTTACTGTTTTAATAACCTCAAAAACAATCTTAAAATTCAAGTAAAATCTTTCAAATAATCCAGAGCTTCCTATTCACCGCAGCTTTAGAGAGGCAGGACAGCTGTTCCTACTGTTTCTGTAATATAAAAGTAATGTGAAACAGTATGTTATTCTTAGTGCATGGGGACTTCCTCAGTCCTGTAACTTGGGTAAAAAGGTTGTTCTGAACCTGCAGCTTAGTATCGCCTAATTTCAGGTTTATGCTTTGTTTTCTTGAATGTGTGCACCTTCTGCAGTTTGCTGCTGATGCATTAGCTGATCCTTCAGCACTGCTCAAGGTGGGAGTTTGATTTTAAGGTTACAGTCTGGTTTTGTAATAGGCAGAGCGCAGGCCTTTACATACGACTGAACTGGATGGTGCCATGGGGGTGTTAACTCTCCAGACAGCCATATCGGGTTGTTCTGTGCTCTTTGGAGCTGACTTTGTGTCTCTGTCCCTCACTGAGGCTTTGGGTTTTTTTCCTTTCTTTTATGACAGGCTTTTTTAAGGTCCTGGGCCAGCTGACTGAAACTGGAGTTGCAACCCCAGAGCAGTTTATCAGTGAGTATATCATTATTTCCTGGCACTTCCACAGAGGTTGCTGGGAAGCAGAGGATACAGATGCTGACAGCAAAGCTACTTGGGTGCGAGGCTCCCGACTGCCTGAGGCCGGAGGGGTTGATTAGCTCAGCTCCCCTGGAGCAGCCTTTGGCGCTCAGCGCTGGATCCTGTTGCAGCTATCCCGAAGGCCTTCTTGGCTGGACAGCCCTAAACTCTGTACCTGCTTTTGAGGCTGAGCTTTAAGCACCTGGCAAAGGCACTGCTGGGTGATGGCTTGTTTTGGCTGAGCTGTTGCAGCAGCAGGGCAGAGGCTTGCCTTTGGTCGTAGCTCAACAGTGTCTGGAGCTTGCATCACTGTTTGACTGAGATGGAAGAAAACTTAGAGGAGGTGCTGCCACCTTCGTTGTAGTGCCCATCTGCAGAGACGCTGGGGAGGGAAGGTTCTCTTGGCAGCTGAGAAAAAGTCATTTGTTTCATTTCTGCTTTTTCCTGGCTCTGTCTCTGGGTTAGTCTGACCCCGGGGCTTTCGGGTTCTGGGCGCATCTTCCTTGTGATCCTGAACCCCGCAGTGGTCTGCGTTCAGAATCTGTTGCAAGTGTTGGGCTTCACAGCAATTCAGCCTGAGATTAACGGCGGCTATTCCGCTGTCTGTCTGCTCCCACAGAAACCTTCGAGCACATGAAGAGATCTGGAGATTACTACGTCACTGTTGTGGAAGACACAACTCTCGGACAGATTGTTGCTACGGCAACGCTGGTGATAGAACATAAATTCACTCACTCCTGTGCAAAGGTATATGCTCTCGCTGCAGCTGTGAAGTGAGGGAAAAGATCCCGTCCATGTTATTTTTATGGTGTTACTGTGTGATGAAGTATCTTCTGCTGAGTCAGTGACAAAAGCACTTTAAAAATATCTCCCGTCCTTGGGTGCTCAGCTAAATGGTAAAGGGAAGCTTTGGCTTTTCCAAAGGAAAAAGAGCAATTTGATGGCTGTCCCCTTCTCCCACCCAGTGCGCTTTTGAACGTGTCAGGCGTGGTTCTGACGGAGCAGATGGCTGAGGAGATCTCTGTTATGGAGTCCCAGCTAGAGGTGTGAAAACGGGGAGCTGGAGAGATACGAATCCCTCGGCAGGGAAGGGCTGCAGCGGGGCTGCAGCTCGGC